GACTGGAATCATTCATGGCCACTCACCCCAACCCCAGGCAAACCCTCCTCCCATCTCCCCTGCACATGCATTGATGAAAGCAAGTTGATCATGGGGGGGTTCTGGGGGGGAGGAGGAAATGCGAGATTTGGGAGAGGGGCGCTTTTTGGATTCCATCTTGAATGTCTGCCAGGCAGCTTAAGAGTTTAGGGATCTTATGATTCAGTCTTCTAGCACTTTAAGTAAGGTGGGGGGGAGGTTACATACACTAACACAGGTCTCTGTCCCCAATCTACCCCCCCCCCGCACCTGTGACTGAAGGGTCACCAAAGGGAGCCATGGAAATTGTGGGGTAAAACTCTGCCGTTTCCTCTTCCCGCTGGTCCCTGTAGGGGGTGGAGGTAATGGTGAAATGGGTAAGTTTAGGAGGGATCCATAGCTTTAGGGTGCTTCAGATGGTTTTGACAAGGTGTGTGTTTCTATAATCTCTGATGAAGAGTTTATTCTAGTGGGGAGGCAAAAGGCAAGATGGGGTGGGGGTGTTGGCTCCTAGTGAGCTGTCTTTCATGGGGGGGGGATCAGAGCTTCATTTTTTCCCTTAACACCAGCATGTATGCCATGACTACCACTCTAGCTGGGCCCAGAGTTTGGGGGCCGGGAGGGTGGGACTAAGGGAGAGATTCAACCATCTGTCCCTTTTTTAAAAAATGTTCTCTATCTCCCCTTTTTTCTGTTACTTAATCTTTCTCTCAGACTTACTTTTTTTAGGACTGCATCCTCAAGATATCTCAGTATGAATTTGCAGCTATCATTTCTTTCCAAAATTATTCTTACTATCTGGATCATTAAAGTCTACCTTAGGGATGGCCAAGAGATCGCTTTTGGTATGAATTTACCAAAATTTACAAAATCATTCACTTTGCCAGGAGAAAGAACTTGAGATGTTTAAAAAGGGGAAATGTGAGAGAAACCAAAACAAACAAATTCATTCATCCAGAAGGAGGGATTTCAGATCTTTGTTCTTAAAAGTCTGGTTTTGAATCCCTCTGGGTTCAGCTATATTGATGGTGCCAAATCAGAGTGGCTGCCAACTTTTTTTTCCTGGCAGGCTGCTCGCCTTTAACAACTGTGTAGCAGGCAAACACATCAGGATCCTCTCCATTCTGGGAATATCTGCACCTTTCTGAATTTGGCCGATGGGGACAGGTGACAATTTTGTTACAGATCTACAACATTTCCAAAATGTGCAAATGTCTTCTTTTTCCATAGCTGCAGTTATGTTAATCTGATGCAAAACCAGAGCAAAAACAGGTCCCACAGCACTGTAAGTGTTTATTATGGCATGAGCTTTTCTGGACTACAGCCTATTTTGTTTACCATAATGAGTGCTCTTCATATTTTCAGGATCCTCTTAAACACATATGATCAGTGGTAGGACTGTAGAACTGTGAGGTCAGAGAGAAATATGTACCAAAATTATTGACGGTGAACATTTAATTATTGTAATTTCTTTGTATTTGGAATAGAAAGAATTTGTGATTTTTAAAAATTCAAAAAAAATAACGGGAGATAGTGAAATTGACTGGCTCATCCACCCATTGTCTGTATCCTTGCAGTGCTTGGCTGTCCATACCCCAGTTCAAATGTTGGACGGTGTCCATACAACCATAACATTTTTGAGATTTGTGATGTTCAGGGCCATAACCCTGCAAGAACTGCATGGAGGGACAGATTATATGAATATCACACCCACACAGGACCCATATCTGTAACTACAAGAAACATTAAAGCTCTAACACAGACAGGCCTACTGTGGAGGCAAGAATTGATCCATTTGGTGCCTCCACGCTAAGATTTCACAGGGCCGTGGTCCTGCTCCCTGATCCATATGCCTTCGAAGACTGAGCCCCTGAAAAGGACCTGTAGAATGCAGAATGGGGGAAAGGTTACATTTTTCAAACTACAGCTCCCAGAGTTCCACAGTCTAGGCTGGCTGGGGGATTTTGGAAGTTGCAGTCTAAAGAAGTAACTTGCCCAATTTCTACTATGCATAACTGGGGTGGGGGGCTCTAAGGCTTATCATCATTATGAATAGGGAACAATGTGAGAGTTGTCCTGGATGAATTAATAAAAATCGCTAGGGTTTGATCTTGTGTGCTTGGCATCATGAGCAAACACAGTTAATTGGAAGGATGTTGGCCACGAGTATGCTTCAAAATACATGGGCTTAGGATCAGAGTAACATTAATGTCTCTCTTCCTACCCACTCCATTCATTTTAACTGAATTTAAGCCTCTATCATTCCAACCCTCTCCTTCTCCCTATATTAGTTGGAGTTTTTTTTTCTAGCAGTGGTTCCCCATCTATTTATTTTTCCCATCCCTTTTCCTTAGTTCCTCCCAAAAGTCCCACTCCTCTGCTCTCAACCTATCACTTTTAGCCTCAAACTAACTTATTTTTTCCAGAGCAACCAAAGCCTCCGCTCCCTCAGCCCTCCCTTCTCCCACCCTCCACCCTTCCCTGATTCCCAGTGGCACTCTGACTATATATTACTCAATGTCTGTGTATCTGATTGTGCCGTAATTGTGCGTTTCGGTTTGTCCGGCTCTTTGCCCCGGTCGATATCGTGTGATTTTTTCTTCCATCTTTAAATGACAAGAAAAATACCAACAACAACAACAGCAGCAAAAGGACAGGAAAAATATGCATCAATTCCACCCCCCAAAATCTGCCCCCTCACCCCAAAAGGTATAGAGAAAAAAATGGATTAAAAAACAAATAAAAAGAGAAAGAAAATGTATTTAAAAATGAATGTCTCTGTGTCTATATTTGATATCATTCATTCATTCATTCATTAGATTTTTACCCCGCCCCTCTAGACAATGTCTGTATTGGTCTTATTATGTTTAGATCCACGCCTCCTAAGCACCAGTGCAAGATTGCATGAGATAATCATCATCATCTTAGAACTACAAGGTTGGAACGAACCCTGTGAATCATCAAGTGCAACCTCTGTCAAGAGAGGCAGAGTGGGGAATTGAACTCCCAACCACTGGTTCCATAGCTAGAGACCTTAACCCCTAAGCTATCCAGCAGGTCTCCTACCTTTGTATCATGCGAGCTGCTGCCACCAATTCTGCCTTCTCCCAGATCTGTCTACATGCTCAAGGCTTTACATGCATCAGGTTCAAGGCAACTAGTAAAATATTCCATCCGGTCCTTTGGTGTTAGGCAGGGTGACATGGTTGCCTCATGAAGCAAGTTTAGGCAGTCAAGAAGGGGCAAAATATTGTTATTTTGAGTGTGTGTAAGTTTTTTTTTTTACTGCTGGTGGGGGAAGGGCCTCATGTACCAATTCAATTTTGTTGGATTAAAATACTGGATACCTTATGGACAGGGCTTAAGAGATTTCTACTAGATAGCAAAATGTCTTGGGCTAGGCTAGTCTTGCTTACTCGCCTGCTAGCATGTCTTGTTTACATACTGCCCAACCAGAAATTACTTTTCTGTGCTACACCTCCCAGAATATGATGCTTGCTAGGGCATTCTGGGAAATATAGAATAACGTTTACCACCTTTGCGCACTATTTATTTATTTATTTATTTATTTAACTACTATACTGCCCATCTGGCTGCCAAGGCCACTCTGGGCGGTTCACAACATAGCGAAACAACAAACAATGCTTTAAATAAATTCACAGAGCACAATACAAAAAGTCAAATTAAACACATCAATCCACTTTACCGAAAAAAGAACAGCATGAAAACAATTAGTAGAGGCAAGGGGGCAGAGCAGAAAATTTAAGCGCTGAAAGAACCACTGTGCTCTTGTCGATATAGTATCCAGAAAAGTCTGTCTAAACAGCCACGTTTTCAAAGACCTCTTAAAAATTGGAAAATACCCAGGAAGTTTTTTACAAATACAGAAAACAAAAATAAAGCAATAATTCCTTATGAAATCTTATTGGGTATTCACATCCGTAAATCAGCTTTCCCTACAGTCTTTCTTCAATCCTTCTCGGTGAGACCGGTTTGCCATGCCCTCTGTCACAACATGCTTCCTCCCTGACACTCCCAAACCAGAAATGCACAAAAGTGCATACAGCACTTTGTATGTGATGGGGTGTACCCCCCCTTTTTTTTGGACTGCAGTTACCAATCTGTCATCCTTCAGTACTGGCTGTAGGGCAAAGCCACCTGGAAGGCCAGAGTTGTTCAGACTCAACCTTAAACCGCAAAACATAAGCTAAAAGAGAGGCCCAGAAGCTTCAAGCTCCCTAAATTTTAAGTCTTCTTTTCTCTAGCATGCCAAGCTCTTCCGTCTCTGCCGTAGGTGGCAACTCCTGTGATGTTAGTCACTCTCTCTGTAGTGATTCATGCAGTCAACTCCAGGTCAGTTCAATACTCCACTTAAGCCTGGTCTTCCCCTTCAAGTACTTGGACTGAGTGCCTCTGCTCTGCAAGAGCCTTTGCTTTTTATCCTCTCCTTTCACCTGCACTGTGCTTACCCCAGGAACAGGGGAGCGCTTCATTTCAATGTGGTTTGATTGGAATTTACTGAACTTTGCAGTACTCAAAAGTGAGGGAAATGGGAAGACAGATTTGGCTATCCCTTAAATCAGGATGGATAAGAATTTTCAGTTCATTAGTTTAAATCAAAAATGGCCAGCCTCTAAGTGCAGGAGGAAGTGGAACAGAAAATTTGCCCACTGCTAGCTTTGAAATCCTGGAGAACTGCATCCCATAAACTCATTTGGGAAGGGAGGTCAGTGGTACAGGATGGGACTTTCTTCAAGTGACTTTCTGCTAACAACTGCTTGATTGGGAGATATCCTCAATGTGAAAAATGTAATCACAGGGAAATAAATATTGCACTTCTTTGTGTCATTAGATAAGAGATGGGGAAACAAAGGCCCTTAAGATGCTTTGAATTTCAGCTCCCAAAAAACCCAGCCAGCATGGCCTGAAGGCAGGGATTGTAGAAGCTGGAGTCAAAACCAGAGTTCATAAAGCTGCTTATAAACACGTATATAATGCCTGAGAGCAATGGCTTTCTAGGTTCTTCCAGCCTTTGTTTAAATTAAAACCCAAACAAGCAACTACTGGAAAAATCCCATGATAAAGACTGCAACCTGCGTAGCTGGGGAAACCATAAAAGGATGAGAGACACCTGAAACATTAAGTCACATGCTCTATTGTAAATATTTCGCACCCAACAATAGCTAATTATTTCTACTTTTAACATGATGATTTTGCTAGTTCTACCCAGATAGTCGTAATGTTGACTCTAAACTTGAACCAGGTTTCAAAAAATAAAATAAAATAAAAACCACACACACACACAAACACCCTTTTCTCAAATGAAATGCACAACCAGCACCAATTGGTCACCATAAGGACAGCCAGATCAACAATTCCTACAGCAAATCCTGCCCCCCACCATTTTGTATGTGCTACCAATACTAATATATGGCCTAAGCCGTATATTACAGGCAAATGTTGGCCCTCCAGAAGTTTCTGGACTACAGTTCTCATCATCCCTCACCACTAGCTATGACAGAATGATAGGAATTGCATTCACCAACATTTGAAACATCAAAAATTACACACTCTTGGCTTCATGATAGCTAGGTTTCCCTCAAGGACTAATATGTTTGGGTTGTGTTGGTGGTTTGAGAAGCAGATACCTGTACACTTTGCCAGTGTATAACTTCCAAGATGAAAACATGGCTGGCCCTGCCATGAGGCAGACTGAACCTGTGGCCTCAAGCAGATCTGAGGTGGCATTTTGTTTATTTTGTATCGCCTTTCTCCCTACGAGGGGACCCTAGGCTGCTAATTATATAATATCCTATCCTATTTTAGGACCAGGTGTGGGAAAAGAACTTTGTGGCATTTCCTGCTTACCTGCCAGAAACAACATGGCTTGCTTCGGGTAAGCATTGTGGCTTCAATTGGGAAGGGGGGAAAGCAATGTTCACTGTTGCACCTCAGGCAGCAAAATGTCTTGGCCAGGCCTGGATGACACTCAAGTGAAAAAAAAAGAGGGGGGCGGGATTAATTGAAGTGCTTTCACATAGCAGGCACCAAAGGCTTGTTTTCTGTTGAGTCCCAGTGGGGCCAAAACTACTACAGGGTCAAATTACAGGAGAGAAAATTTGTGCTGAGCATGTGCCTTGATGCAATCACAAAATGGAGCCACTGAGCAGGAAGACTGGTGTGTTCTCATTCCCTGAGGGTCTTCAATCAAAGACTGGACAGTAACTGGTTCAGGAAGTTTTGGCAGAGCTGAAAACAGTTACTTTTTTTTGAGAGAGAAGAAACTATAGTTCCCAGAATTCCAAAATCCCACAACCTGCATAGCCAGTTGCAATCTAAAAAAAAAACAACTGTGCCAAAGCCTGGGTTGTTTTTCTTAAACCAAGCAAGGATAGGTGAGTAGGCCGCACAACTTACAACAGAGGGGCAGGGGGAATCCACTCTTCCTTTTTGGATGCAGAACAGACCTGTATTTGCCCTGTGATATATCCCAGAGTCCAAAAGTGACTTGCTGGAGGAAATGATCTTGCTTCCTAAAACACACCCACACACACCCCAACACTCCATAAACCTTCCTACGCATAAACCTGTAATTATGTTATACCCGGTTGAGAGCTCTTTCTTGACTGACTGGTTTGCCCATCTTAAATCCAAGCCCTGCTCTTCAAGGCCTGGGGAGAAGCTTTACTAGAATGACAATAACCATGTGCCATCATGTCAATTCTGGCTTACGGCGACCCTTTTCAGGGTTTTCTAAGTGTAGAGCACTCAGACATGGTTTAGCCTTCCCTTCTTCTGGAGCTGTACTGGGACTTGTGCAGCTTGCCCAGGGCCACACAGGCTGGCTCGTCTCATAGAAAACACAGTCAGCAGTTCAGACCTCTGGGTAGAGTGGGCGGCATATAAATTAAATAAATAATAAAAATAATAATTTGTTTCTCTTCAGAAAAAGGAGCCACTTTGGCTCAGCGTGTGCTTTGCAGTGCACTTTATAGCCCAGAAATGGTTTACCATTCTCTTTTTCCGGGGGTGTCCTGGGACTGTGCAGCTTGCCCAAGGAAACACAGGTTGGCTCTCCTCATAAGAGGCCCAGTGGGGAATTGAACTCCCAACCTCTGGCTCCACAGCCAGACGTCCTTTCTCTGTTCTAGCCCCATTTCCAGTTACTTTCCAGCCATTTCTGAAGAAATATTGAAGTTCTAAAGAAGCTTATAGAGGTTTCCTCGTCCGTGAGATCAGAAATGGCCCATGGGCACCTCTCAATAGCAGCTTTTTTGCTACCATTATTTTTACAATGCGATGGGCAGTCCCAGAGGATGGCTGGGTATTTTTCTCAGGCATACTCTCACTTCCAATGAAGTCAGGCTGAGATTCAACAGGTAGAGACAGTATATTAGGGTCTGTACCCAATGTTGTCAGAATTCTTGTAGCCAAGAGCTGAGTGCAAAGCCTGGCGGCTATGAGAGCTCCTGGGTCTATTTTCTACCTAACCCAGGACAGCTCTTCCTGAAACTCATTTAGTAAAGCAAGCAGGGAGAGCCTAAAACAATAGTGTTGTAAGGAACGAGGTGTGGCCTCCAAGGAGTCCAACAGCCAGACTGGAACCCCAGGAATGCCAGATTTCCCTCCTCTGCTTTAAAATCATTGGATGCCTCTCTAAGGATTACATCCATAGAGTTACTTCCTACTCATGTGGACAGGAATTTGGAGAAGCATGGCATCCAACTACAAGCTGGAATTGGTGCCCAGCATGGCTAGGACCTAGAATTCTAAATTATTCCTTTTGTTGAAACCAGAGTGCTCAGGAGCTGCAAGAAAGAATAACTAGGTGTTGGACTACTGCAGAAAGATTGTAGATTTATGGCAAGAAGATACATCTGATACAATGGCTGAAATCCTGTTGTTTGGCACAGCAAGGCCTGCTGAATCAGTGAGGAATTTGATGAGTCAGCTCAACTATACCTCCCACTGATTCAACTGGCCTACTCCAGCATGACATACTATGCAAAGTAACAGGATTTCAGCCACTGAGTCTATAAAGGAAATCCAATATATGCCTCTGTATGAATTATGTTCACGCAAACGTACTGTTCAGGGTAGATTCACAGAATTAATACCCCTGATGGCCTTATTCACTGAAAATTGTTTAGACCACCCAAAATATTTTCTAATGCAGTTCATAAAACAATCCAGTCTTATAAAATGCAGTTGCTATAAAATACCATGCCCAGGTAAAGAATTATGTTAAAGGCACAAAAATAAGGAAGCCATTCAAATAAGAAGATTATCAATAATCCAGAATTATCCTCTCTTTAATTAAAAGTAACATGTCTACAAGTAAACAGAATTAGATGAGTATTCAAAGCCTACTTGAAATCCAGAACAAATGAAACCAAATGACACAGATTCAGATGTGAATTGCTTTTTCTGTAACATGAGTAACAATCCATTCTGCAGATATGTCCATGATTCAAACAGAAGGCAACTATATGGCTCTTCTGTAGGGCTTTTAGATTAAGTTAACAGTTATATATTTGGTTAATAAATTAAGTTTGTAAAGATTTACAAAGATATTACAAAGACAAAGCATAATTTTTATTTTAAAGTAAACACTCTTGCCATAGCGTCTAAGAAGAGGCAGTCCATCCTATGGAAGAGAAGGCAAAATTTCTTCTCTAAGTGGGTACCTATCATCTACAGTTTAATAACTAACTGGTCAGAATCCTATTAGGAACTTACAGGGATGTAAATGGAACTGCATAAACTGCAGTATCAAATTCTTGCTAATCAACAAGTTATACTCACACTCCTCATGGCACCAAACTAGGCAAGTGGCATATGACAAGGAACATAACCAACAATTCATTGTTAGGGACAATTTGCTATCACAATTCATATAATTACATTTATACTGGCTTAAATAGGAAGCTGACTAGTTGTATTTTAAAATATGTTTTCTTCCAGCAGCCCAATAAATCATGGGCCTAATTTTAATCCAGTTTATTAACCCAGTAGCCATATATCTCTAACCCTCTTTCCATGACTGTGCAAATATAAAACAGATGATGATTCAGGCTGATATTTAAAAACATCTCTTCTCTTGAATTATGTAAAGCACAAAAAATCAGGTTATCCAATGAAACCGACACAGATGAAGAAAATGAACAACAGGAAGTACTGTATGTCCTTGCACAGCACATTGTTTACCTATGGAATTCATTGCCACAAGGTACTGGAATGATTGCAAACTGCATTTTAACATATATTACATAAACAATGAAGCAAAGTAATGTCTTCCAAAGCCTTTCAACTGCTTGAACAGTTTATAAACAAACACACACCAAAGTTTACTAGCAGGAATCTGAGGTCACCTGGTAGCAATGGTGAAGGCATAGTGGTAATAGACCGGGATGTGAAGCACGAGGCCAACCATTCCAATTTGTCTTCAGCTGAACACGTACCAAATTAAACATGGGGAGATCTTTTTAAAGAAAGGAATTTGTAATGTAAATAGGCACTACAAATTAACATTCTCAAAGTGCTGATTAATGAAGTTGGATGACAGGATGCATTCATCATCATTATCTTAGAACTGCAGAGCCGGAAGTAACCCAATAGGTCATACAGTCCCAGCCCCTGTGAGTAATCGAACTCCCCAACTCTGGTTCTGCAGCCAGACACATAAACCACTGAGCTATGCAGCAGTCCATTGATGCAACTCATATGGAATCTGGCATGTCCTGAACATTGCAATTAAACATCACAAATAAATAGCTGCTTTTTACTAATCCAATACCACATACAATGGCATACATCTGTTAGTTAACAGCCTAACTTTTGGAGGTGAACTGAATTAAGAAATTATTGCAGGCATTATAGTTATATATTGAATTATGTGACTCAGCATGCAGCTGATAATGTCTACAGTGATTTGTTAACTTAGAGCAATTTGCCTCCAAATGTTACACCATTTATGCAGCTACTCAAGAGGATTTTGGCCACTGATTCATAGACAGTCAAATTATAGCCTACTACATCATCTAGTCATGCTTAAGAGTAAAATTACTTACTATTGTTCCTTTGGAAGTAACAGAAACAATCTGAATTCTCAGGCATTTTGAATGTAGAAAGCCAATAAGTCATAAAAGCACATTTCAATTTTTTAAAATTCATCATGAATAGTCTTTCACTTCAGCAAACTGAAATTTGGGGCGATTTGTCTTACTTAACAGATAAGATTATTCTCCTCACAAAAAAAGTATGAAGAAATGGCTGCTGGTTAATTTTATTTATTACAGAGCTCCCATTTGGCCTCCTACCCATACAATGGCCCAAATCAAGCTTACATCTGTTCAGTAACAAGACTGTAGGATCCTAACTTTAACCCACAGCCTCAGGTGATGTTTCTCTGAAATAGAAAGTAGGCTGATCATTATGTTATCTTTGCTACGTTTTTCCTCAAAGCAATCAATGTTAGAGGAGTATAGAGACAGTGAAGGACAATGCAAGGCTTGAATGGAGATTCAACACACGTCCTGTTCCCCACAGTTAGGAACCCGGTAGATTATATAAGGGTTCTTAAGTGCAAGAAGCAGAACTGGGCTCTACCATTAGGCAAGGTAAGGTAGCACCATTAAACAACAGATTTTTGGATCCCATAAAATGGAAGAGCAAGATGCAAAATCAGGAATGTTTTGTTGTTAAAGAGTCAGAGCTAACTTTCTTTTCTTTTTTTAAATGATGCTCTTTAGTTATATAACTTGCAATTATTTACTGCCAGGAATAGGGAGAGGTTTGTGGATTTTCTGCCTTATGAGTCCACTTAATCCGCCACATTTGGAGTCCGATGGACTTTGACTTGGGCCACTGGCTGCCCTACTTCAGGTAGCAAAATATCTTGGCCCAGCCTTAACAGGAAAACTTCTCAGTCCACGCTACTAAGCGTACTTAGGAAGTCCTTCACACTTTGAGGAGGAGACAGGGTGGAAACTACATATGAGGAGGTACTGGAGGCAGATCCGACACATGTCTCTCCATCCCAGGCTTCCCTACAAACTTCTGAGCCCATACACATCCAAGAAGAATGAGCAAAACTGCTGTTATCTCCCTGGAGGCCAGTTAGCATGAAACATCAATGAAGCAGTCTTGTATAGACAATACAGAGGAGGGTCAGGATCTGGTCTTGATCACCCTAGAGTGAAGACCATGTAATAATGGCCTCAAATTATGGGAAGCCCGATTTCAGTTGAATATCTGGAACAACTGCCTAACTGGAATCAATTACTTTAGGAGGTGGCAAACTCTCCAACATGGAAATCATTCAAGAGAAAACTAGACAGCCGTCTATCATGTATAATTGACTTGAATTCCTGTATTGAGCAGGGGGTTGGATTTGATGGCTGTATAGGCCTCTTCCAACTCTATTATTCTGTGATTCCAGGAGGATACTACAACACAATATACTGTTGGTTCAATGTAGAAATAGGTCGGGTGGATTAAGGCATTATTTGCTTTTTGTATGTTAGTTCCAAGACAGGGAATACATAGGCTGGATCTCGCCCCAGCGACAGGCCTTGCGGTCTGCCCATTCGATCAGCTCCGCAGCTCTTGCAAGGAACACCAAGAGGAGGGTGATGACATCCCCTTCCGCTGAGTGAGCTCGGAGAGGTTCCTGCCCATAGAAATACCGATAAAGCCTCCCTAGCTGGTAGTTCTTGTTGGCATCTTTCACCAGTTCCCTCAGGGCTGGCAACGTGTCCAGGCAGCCGGTGTCCGGGTGCAGTGAGGTGCCCACCCTCTGGAGCTCCGCACACAGCAGAGGGAAGTCAAACCCCAAGCCATTATGGGCCACCAAACAGATGGGGCCAGCCTGGCGCCTCAGAAACCCCTGCACGGCCTCCACAGCTGCTCCGTTAAGATCCGGCTTGCAGTTCTCCTCCAGGTTCTGGTTGCTCAGCCCGGTGATCTCTTCAGCGACTGGAGTGAAGGGCTTCTGGGGATCAATGCACAGAGTGAGTTTGTCTATGACACGGGGCAGCTGATCCAACGGGGTTGTGACGACCCTCGGCAGAGGGTGCTGCAAAGAACGGCGGTGCACCGCAAAGAGGCACAGCTCGGCCACGCGGGGCCGGTCTTTGGGCAGGCCCGTTGTCTCGATGTCCAGGAAGACAAAGGTCTGGAAGTCCTGGGGGGCAGCCATGGCTGGCACAGAGGAAGAGCAGGTCAGAATCTTACATCGACATACAGTACAAGGCAACACATACCAAATCTACAGCATTCACCCAAGATGAGAGGAAAACATAACCCCCTGTTGGTCAGACTCTGACTTCACTGAGATTGGATGATATTAGGGGATATGGCCTACCTCTGGTGTTGAGAGATACAAGCATGGCCTTAACTGTGTGGGCTCCCTTCCTGCCACTTTGACTGGGAATCCAGCTTTTCCTCCCAACTGCTTTCCTTGCAGAATGAGGCCCAGAGCGCTCAAGGTAGATCTTGAATCACCAGCAGGGTGCACTTCATCTCCCCCCCCTCCCACTCCAATTACTTTCCTCCTGTAAGGACAGAGAAGGGCAAGCCAAGCTGAATCTGCCCATGGAGTCCCTCTGCCTTTTAATCCTGACTTTCTCCTGCTCTATTTCTAGGGTAGGTTCAGGGAGGAGAGACCAGGAAACCTCCACAAGCCAGAGTGGGGATCCCAATGGCCCAGACTAAGCCTTTGGCCTCTCTTTTCCTAACAAAGCAGGATGGCCAGCCTAAATAAAAATGGCGCTCTGGTTCATTTGTTGCCTTCAGTGGGGCTCTTTATCTTTTCTTATCCTGATAAGAAAAGGAGATCTTTCAATAGGGCAGAAACAGATAAGGACCAAGGTTCATCTGGTGTGGTCTTCGTCATGTCTCCACACAAAACAAACAGTGAAAAATAATGGTCACTGACTGCAGATGAGACTTTGCCTTGCAGTTTCCTTAAACAGATATGAAGGAAAGCAAATTGGGATCAGAAGAAAGCTCTCTCTCTCCCCCTCACTCCCACCCCCTTTCCAACTCCACCACATTTTATGACTGAGCCTCGCTGCTTCGCAATAAGCCCACTCTCCCTGCCTGGGAACCAGCGTGGATTTGATTTGTATCAAATGGATTTAAGTCACAATTTAAATTGGTTCAAAAGCTGGGGGGGGGGAGGAGGAGAGGTTGACGATTTAAGTCAAAGACATCATTTTTAAAACATTTTAATTGTAGTTTGACTCCCGATTTAAATCGATTTAATTAAAATAAATCATTGATTTTATCCACTCTGCTGGGATCTCAGTCACTAGAACGTTATCCTGGACCTCTTGCTTGTCTCCACCTTCCATCCTGCAGAAGGAAGAGAGATTAGCAGAAGCTGACTCCTATGATAACCTTCTGTTGTGGTGTTATCTCAGCCCCACATACTTCTGAAGGAGGGGGTCAGACCTCCCATGGCCAGAAGACTCTTGAGCCTTGGCTGTGTAAACCTGAAAGAGCATAACTGATGTATTTGGTCATGCTGGTACATGCAAAGTCAATAGAGACATGATCAGTTCCAACCTTTAGGAGGGGAGATTAAAAAAATCAAGAGAAGAAACAAGATATTTTTCAAGGACTTCTCTGCAGACTCTTTAAAGCTACATTATCTATTTTTGGCAACAGATCCAACACCCTCACCTAGACTGGTGGGAAAAGGGACCAGCAGCCCATGAAATGAGCCAAAAAGAGGCCTCGCTTTACTGCAGCATGACAGGATCCCAACACCCATCCCTTGGACCACAGGTTACCAGTGGGATCAGGCCTATGGGATGTCACCAGAGATAAATGGGAATGTGCCCACATTATGCTGTAAACTGGGAATATTACTCTTGACATAGGTCACAAGGTTGTGAAGACCAAAGGAAAGAATTGTATCTCCTGCTGTTATTTTCACCTTCCTGCATTGGAATGACAATAATAACTAGTATGTCAGATGTACTATTCCACATCTCATAGGAAGAATGACTATCAAGGTGGAGACGAGCAAGGACCAAGTGAAAATGTGTCTGGGGAAAAAAAACTATTAACTGTGTTTTGGCTACAGAAAGGAGCCAGTGTCAGTGTTAGGAATTACTGGGGGAAATGTGGTGACTGAAAAAGCAGAGACTGGGTGCCTGTGTATCTCTGTGGAAGACCACTCCCTCTGAAAAGCAGTGGTACAGGACTGAAGGCACCAAAACAGGCCAAATGACAGAGCCATCCTATGCATGCTTACTCAGAAGGAAATCCCAAAGCATTAAATTGGGCTGATTCATCTTTTTTCCAAAAAAAGAAAGTTAGAAAAGGAAGTACCACTGGGCGTTCTACAACTGCAACTGCAGAGTGAGTCGAGTTCTCCCCCACCCCTCACCACCCACCCCAGGCATCATAACGTGGAGAATTTACCTTTTTACCTGACAATCCTCTCTCCCCACAAATGGCCAAATCTCCCCTTGGTGGCTGGAGGCCTCTGGAAATCGTAAGCCAAATAAGTAACTGATTAGCCCATTTAGCTGGCAGACATAATGTCCAGGCTCAAACCTTATGACAGCTAAACAGAGCCTCCTTGCTCAGAGGCACTGTATCTTCGAGAACGAAAAAGACGGAAACAAACAACCGGGGGGAGTGTTTCCCTCCAACCATCGCGGGCTAGTTGGGAATTTCATCTAGACCAGAGGTACTTGGGTAGTGGAGGAGAAAGAATGAGAAACAGGGAGAGGTCTGATCTAGATCACTGGTTCTTACCATTTGTTACTCAGGTGTTTTTGGACTGCAACTCCCAGAAGCCTTCACCATCAGCTCTGCTGGCTGAGGTTTCTAGGAGTTGCAGTTCAAAAACACCTGAGTAACAAAGGTTAAGAACCACTGATCTAGATAACGAATGTCATATGATCCTATTTTACCCACTACTAACTTTTCTGGCTCCAATACTTTGGCCATCTCTTTGAGAGGAGAAGACTCCCTGGAAAAGACCCTGATGTTGGGAAAGTGTGAAGTCAAGAGGAGAAAAGGACGAGATGGTTGGCCTGTGTCATCAAAGCTACCCACATGAATTTGACCCAACTCCTGGAGGCAGTGGAAGACAGGAGGGCCTGGCGTGTGCTCTGGTCCATGGGGTCACGAAGAGTCTGAACTAACTCAGAGGGACGAATCTCCAGTTAAAAGAGAGTCAGAAAAGGCTGCTTTTTCTTTCACTTCCCAATTCCCTAGCGGAATCTCCCAAGGTGGCCCTCACTCACTCACCTCGCTTCTGATGACCCGGACCCTGAGATGCGCGGGCTCAGCGTCTCGTCCGTCTCAACTTTCGCGGGTCTTCTCCAAGGAAGCGAAAGCAACGCGCCAGAGCAAGCCCCGCACACTCTGCTTCTGGCCGGGAGGGGCAGGGGGAGGGCGGAGACACACAAAAGGGGCGTGGCGTCGCGGGGAAGAAACCCAACCCCCTCCCTGAGGGCGGTGGGAAACGTAGTTGGCAGAGCTGAACCTAAGAGCGGTGGGAGGCGCAGAGAGGCTTTTCCTCCTCTAGAGGGCGCCCGTGTGAAACGTCGCCGCCGCCGCCGCCGCGAGGTTCCGTATCTGAAACAGGGACTGACGGAAGTGTTAGCCTGCAGTGGCGGCGAGATTAATTAATGGAGGAGGAGGACAGTCGTGAAGGATAAAGCAAAGCAAAGAACAGCCGGCTCCGTGAATAGAAAACAAAACAAGCCGGGCGCATTGAGTTGCTTCTCTATCAGTATGTGTAACACTGTATAGATGTAAAGATGCAGTGTAAACAAAACACAATGGGGGAAAAAACAAGTGTGTTGAATTTCAGAAGAATTCCATGTAGAGGGTAGGGCTTCCACGCGAAATAAGCTGCCCTGGGAGGGCTTCTCCAGAGGACTTTGAGGGCCAAAACTGAAGGTGATAGATTAATGACTGAGCCCTATGCGAGAGGTTTATATTTTGTGCCATGGCACTGCTGCCAAGCAATAGATCTTGTTTTGTTTTAAATAGGGCAATTCATAGGCCTGGATATGATCTGAAGTGCAATGTTACTTTTACGGGTAAAATTTTAATTTTCATTCAAAGAAGCAGCTGATCCGTTATTTGTTTGGCGCAGCTGGGATCTCTTTATGACTTTGGTGGCATCTCTGGTAGAAATCCAGAGCTCCATGAAAATCTGGTCTAAAATTAATATTTGGTACACAGGTGTTGTTGCTGACAGTCTGGATGTGTGATTTTTATGGTTCAGTTGTGTTTTAAGATTGGTGATTCGACCCTGATCTTGGTGAGAGTACCAGTTAGGTTCTGTGCCTCGGGCGCATGTTTTGTGCTATGAGGTCACCACAAACCACATGGTCTGAATTTCATGGTGCTGCTGTCCATGGGCATGGATGTGATCTGCAGTTTGATGGTGAACTCTCGTGACAAACACGGGGGAAGAAATCCTCTAGCTCCATGAAGATCAAATCCATACCTTGCATCCCTGTGTCTGGACCTTTCCAGTGCCATGAAGCAGCAAATCCATGTTGCAACAATCCAGAGGATTTGAGCATTGTGCCCATCTTTTACACCATGAAAGAACCACAGAGCAGCAGATTTGTGATTATTATAGCAGATAGTATAGTAATTATTTTCGTTCAAGCATATGACAACAGAAGTATCCATTTTTGTTTTCCTGGATACAGCTTCTGCCCAGGTCCTAACAAAGAACTAAATCAAACCTCCTTTTCCACAGGCAGTGCACCTGTGAATAAGTTACTAAGGGGCAGCAGTTGCAAGAGAAAACAGTGGTGGAGAAGGCTCTCCTTATGTTCTGAAGGTATTGGGGTAACCAGACACTGGTCTGCATGGGTCCCGAGTCAGATTCAGAGCTTGGGAAAGTCATTTCTTTCAACTACAATTCCCAGACGCCCCAGCCAACATGGTCATCAGCTGTGGTTGTCAAGATGTTATGAGAGTTCTGGTTCAAAAGAATAACTTCCTTAACTGGTCAAGTGCAGCTATTCAAGGCTGATCAAGTATAATCAATTCTGCAGGATATTTGGGCAATGCATATTCTCCAGTATGTAACCTACCACCAGGGGGTGGAGAGAAATGCATTACCCCAGAGAAGGTGAGATACCACTTAAATAATGGTAATTATTTATAATATGAAAGCACTAAGAGGCAAAACCCATTTTAGGAAGGAAAAATGGCGGTGTCAGAGAAGAACTATGGTGAGTAAAAGATAAGCATTATTCGTCACGAGAACAAATGCACACAGATAATTGGGGGCAAGCGGAACAAAAGGAAAAGACAAAAGGGAAAGAAACAGAGTTGCCGCCTTGTCCTTAAGCAGAAACTTTATAGCGGGGCGGATGATCTCAAGTGGGCCAGGGGCACAGTAGTTAAACTGCAGTACCACAGTGAAGACTCTGTTCGCAATCTTGAGTTCAGCCCCAAAGGATTCAGGTAGCCAGCCCACGGTTGACAGACTTTCACCTTTCCAAGGTTGGTAAAAATGAGTACCCAGCTCTTTGGGTGGCAGTGTGTTGTTTGCACAATTATGTTGTAAGCCAACCAAAGAGTGCTCTAACTCTTAAGAGCTGCCACAGGAGTCAAAACAACAAGAACAAATGCTCATTGTTGACCCTATCCCCAAAACCACTTCTTGCAAACCTTACAGCCTCTAGTAGCAGTTTGTTAAAACTTTGTAAGGGAATGTGGGGGTCCCAAGGGCCATGAACTCAAGATATGGGGAAATTATCCCTAAAAGGCACATCATATTTTTGAGCTGGGATGATGCATTTTGAGCCTTTAGTGGCCCCATGCAGCCCACGGGTCACACAGGTTTAGAGAATATCTTAAAAGTAGTAGCTACATAGGCTTTGCATTCCTTTCCTTCAGAAAAAAAGGAAGATTGGTAATGAAGTGTTTGTCACTGAGGAAGTGGTTAGGGAGTTGACCTGGGCCTTGAGAGACCTGTGTTCCAATTCCCACTCAGCCCTGACATTTATGGGGTGACTTTGGGCTAGTCACAGTCTCTCAGCCCATCCTGCTTCACAAGGGTGTGGTGAGGAAGAATGGGGGAGAAGGATAGTCTGATGCCTGCAGGTTATTGGAGGAAATGCGGGATAGAAACCCAGGCAGCCATGGGGACAAATGGCCTCGGGCCTGGAAATTTGGCGATAGCAGGCAAGGTGGCTGGGAAGACTTTCTCTGTGGGGGAAACAGCAAACTTTCTGAGCAATGGTAATCAATGTTTCTGATCGTATTGACAGCTATCTCAGACTCAAAGATCTTCCTAAATCATGTAACTGGAGCACTAAGATGTTTTCAGCACCAATGATAGCTGTCTTTTACCATCTATCTTGGCCATGATTTTTTATTTTTATTGTACAGTATTAGTTACAGAAAAATGGATAAACCGTTTAAAATTAAAAAAAAACCTGATCAAATTCAGGGATTTAATTTGTTTGAGACTAACTTGTTTTGTTGATAGAAGCAACTTCCACAGGAAATGATTTTGTAGCACTTTGATAGTCTCATTCACGAAGGAGGTATGACTGTGAAGGCAAATATTCCATATTAATAGCACACCTGTTCACTCAGATGCAAATCCCTTGGTATTCAGAGGAGCTTTGAAACAATGTGTTAGATTTTATTTATTTATTTATTTATGGACTAACCTGTCTTGTTGATAGGAGCAACTTCCACGGGATCTGATTTTGTAGCACTTTGATAGTCTCATTAAGGAAAGCGGTATGACTGTCCACGTCCCAATTTATGACTGTGAAGGCAAATACTCCATCTTAATAGCACACCTGTTCACTCAGATGCAAATCCCTTGGTATTCAGTGGGGCTTGATTGGAGCTTGGAAACAATGCATTAGATTTAATATGTTAGCACTGAAATTGTTATTTTTGCATTTAGAGGAAAGCAAATCAGCTCCTTATGCATCAAATAACAATTTGAAAGTACATTTTTTCACATGTTAAAATTACCTTCAAAATGTTTTCCTTGCGTTCAACACCCATGTAACGATTTCAACATTAAAAAGTCAAATCAAATGCATTATACCTAAATTCTGGGCTTAGCTTACTTCCAGGTAAACTATCTGCAACCTAAGAAAATAAAAACACTACACCAAAAATATATATGTTCTGCAACCTTTATAAACTAGGCATATTAAGTTTAATTGTACATACGCAATTTTGTAAGAATATCCCATCCCAGAAGCATTGTAGGGCAGTCTCGAGAGGTAACTGGAGGCAGTTCCCTTCCTGGTGTCTGGAGGATGAGTCATGAGTTGTGAGTTGATGATGATATTGATAGACTAGAATCGATCGATGTCCGGGACCAGTTGAGAATACAGGAAACAATAAGGCAGAGGGGATTCGGGCTGGGAATCAGGGAACACTGGTGAGTGGATCTGTGGCATAGGGGTTCCCTTCCTTGCCTCTCTCTGATCCAATCTTGCCACCATGACCTTACAAAAAAAAATTCTGACATTTCCTTAACCATTTGGGGTGGTCGACCAGCAACTTCATCCATGCCTGAGTGTAAGGGAGGTGTCCTCAGTTGCCTGCTAGTAATTAATGTCTGAGTAGCATTGGCAACAGAAAGATTATATGAACCTTTAGGTGGCCAGCCCGTGCCCATCTTGGGCCACCTGTTCTCACAAAACAATGGCAGCTTGCCTTTACACAAATCATTTCCCTCTTTAAACTGTATGAAATGATGAAGGGTGCATCCCAAACGGGTTTCATCAGATTCCTGGGGGGTGGACATTCCCTGACCCATGGAAGAAAAAGAGGAGGGAGCCCAAAGTTCCAAACTCCAAGGGTGCACAAGGATGATGCCTCGAAACAAGGGAACCCAACGTCCCAAATTGAGGAGACCCCAAAATAACTGCAGTTGATAGGCACCTGCTTAAGATGACAGGAGAGCTCTCAGTTCAAATATGGACAAGGCGCCAAATAGAGAAGTGCTGCTATTTCTCTTCACTTAGCCGGAACCATTTGGAGTGGGTGTGCCCCTCCTTGAAGTCTGAGGAATCAGATCCCACCCCTGCCACCAAAACCGCTGGGGGTTTGTCATTCATTATGCTCTGGCAGGCCCTGCCACTGAAATTGTTCCCACAAAAGGAGAGAGAAAGAGATGCAAACAGCACCAAAAAAATGTTTTCAAGGCCAAGTTTATTGGAATAACCTGCAAGTTCAGAAACAGGAAGGGGAGAAATCTTCCCAAATCCTCGTTCCTCAGATTGTAAGATTTGGGGGAGCTTATAAACGCTAAATGTCATCAAAGAGATCAGACAGAATGTCAATCACAAAGAACAGAATACCTGTTTAGGAGTAATCTTTAAGAAAACATACATAATTGTTTTAAGACAGTCTGGAGACAA